AGCCGGGAATGAGAGGTTTACGGTCTGGGAGGGGTCTCTGGGCTGAGGGTTCAGGCTCTGGGCTGAGGGTGCAGGCTCTGGGCTGGGGCTGGTGGCTTTGGGGTGCAGGAGGAGGGGCTGGGGGTCTCAGGGTTGGGGCAAGGAGCTGGGTTGCGGGAGGGGATCAGGGCTGGGGGTGAAGGCTCTGGGGTGGGGCCAGGGATGAGGGGGTTGGGGTGCAAGAAGGGGCTCCAGGTTTGGGGGTGCCTCAGGGCTGGGGCACGGGCTTACCTCTGGCAGCTCCCGGTCAGCGGCGCAGCTGGGATGCAGAAGCAGGCTTCCCAGGTATCCTGGCACCACGGACCGCACTGCAGCCAGGAAGCAGCCAGCAGGTCTGGATCCTAGGCGGAGGCGCGCAAGCGGCTCATCGTGGCTCTCGCCCACAGGCACCCCCCCCAGCTCCTATTGGCCAGTTCCCAGCCAATGGGAGTGTGGAGCTGATGCTCGGGGAGAGGGCAGTGCACTGAGTCCCGTGGCCCCCCTGCCTAGGAGCCGGACCTGCTGCTGGGTAGGGACTAGTAGTTTTATTACCGGTAGTAGTGCTGAGCATCCCTGGGCGCTGAGCAAGGCGACCCGGTGCCTGGCATTCTGCAACCAAGTACTGGGTCGCGACCCAAACTTTGAAAATCACTGCACTAGGGCACAGGACCAATTTGATTGACACGCAGAGCAGGGCCCAGCCCCTCCAGGAGCGGGTGGAAGACACACACACACACACACACACACAGTTATTCCTGCGGTAATTCTGCACATCTGCAGACACGTAGCATTCATCTGTCCTGCATAATTTTGGGTTTTTTCCCCGCATAAAATACATTCTGCCCCAGAAGCGCTGCAGTTCCACATTTTGCCACGCAGAGGGCGCTGTGGCACCAGAGCAGCCAGCAGCATGAACACAGACCGTTGTTTTGGTGCCACAGCGGCCCCTGGTGGGCAAAGGCGGAACTGCAGCACTTCCAGGTTCACTCCCAGGCTCCTTCCCTCTCCCTCAGCTCCCCCGTTACCCCTGACTCCCCCAAGCCTTTCCATGGCTTCTGACAGGTGCAGGAAATACAGTTCTGTGGTGTAATTTAAATGAATTACTCAACGTTCTGTGTTAATATGCCTAGTGAGGAAACTATTTTTTTTTAATTACCAGAATCTTTTGTTTGGTCTGTATTGTTACAGACATCCTCGCTGACAGATCTTTTGAAATAAATGACCAAGATAATTGAAACTGGCAGGATTATATTGTGTTATTTTGACAAATAAAATTTCCAGAATTTTCAAATACTGTGTGCAGAATTTTTTATTTTTTAGTGCAGAATTTTTATTTTTTGGTGCAGAATTCCCCCAGGAGTATACAGTTGTCCAGGCTAGTGGGAAGTGAATTCAGTACTGGGGATGGTGCTTGCTGGGCAGCTTCTGGGCCCCAATTCCTCTGTGCGTCCCTAGAGCGGAGGCAGCCCAGGGGAGCATCCCCCTGACAAAGGAGCCCAACTCTGCAGCTCCCCCTGGGGGCAGGGATCCCCCATCCCTCAGTCCCGAATCTCCAGTGGCTGCTACTCTCCCCTGGCTGGGGAACCTCCAGTAACTCCGTCCCGGCTGGGTGTGGGGCTGGAAGCAGATATGCTGAGCTGAGCCCCTCACCTACTACCACAAATATCATGGGGTGGTTTGGCTCCAACCAGACGGGCAGGTCGGATTTGGTGCTATATCAGCAGCTGTTGCTCCCTGCGTCTCCCCTGCTCACGTTGCGGATGGGAAACTCAGCCACGTCCCCCGCGGGGTCCATTGAGCGCCGTGCGTCCGGGTCTCCGGCTTTACTCGGAAGGAACCTCGCTCACTGACACTCACACCGGACGGTCACGGCTCCCCCCGGGGCGACCCGCCCACTGGGGTGCAGGGAGATGTTGGGTTTGGGCTCTGCAGGCAGGAGGAGACAGGCCGTGAGACACAGACCCCGGCACGGTCACTGCATCCTGTCCCCACAGCCTGTCCCCAGCGATGAGGCCAATACAGGGGCCTGCAGGGAGAGTCTCCTGGATGCTTTTCCCCCGAATCCAAGCCCGAGAGAGCTGGGCTAGCGACACAAGAGACACGGGGTCCCCCACCCCTCAGCAGGGCAATGGCGCGGATCCATCTGCAAGGAGCCCATGGAGGGGTGGCTGGGGCAGGGCAAGGAAAGGCCGAGGGGACCTAGAGGCCAATTGCGTTTTATCTCCATAGCTGGGGAAGGAGAAATCAGTTGAGTGGGGAATGATCACAAGTGAATCAGAGTTCGCTGGTGTAGCAGGAACTGCTGGGTAGGGTCACACTGGGAACTATTGCTGAGCTCGCCTGAACAGTAACTACCATTGGCTGAATTCAACCCACTGCACGGGCAACAATTTACATTCCTGGAGCACCAGGATCTGGAGTTAGAACGTCCAAGGCACTAGGCCAGAACCCCACCGCTCTACGGTCCCTTCGCCGCTTCTCTGATTGCAGCCTCTGTACGGCCCAAATTTGGAGGGAAATTTCTTAGCACGTTTTGTTGCAGCTTGAGCCATCCCCTTGCGCCGTCTCTGTTTGCTGCTCTGAGTTCCAGCTCAGATACCGGCAGCTATTTCTCCAGGCGATGGGTCGGCTTCTCAATCGAACAACTGTCCCTCCGCTGCTTTATCTAGAGTCCCTTTGCTCTCGGACAATTTTTCCCTTCCTGTCGCTGCACCTGAAGGTGCTGGGCGGACATTTTGTCTGTTCTATTTGCTTTACTTTCACTACAGCTCACTTCCTCCTCATTTCTTCAGCCTGTTTCTCTTTGCTCACAGCTGGTTTCCATCACGTTTCATTCATGCTTTTCTTCTCTTGTGGGTTTTCTAACAATTGCTTAGGTAACGTAGAGACTCTTTTTTTCTTCATGTTTCACTGCCCAGTTCTTCCTCTAACTTTCCCCCTCATGTCTCTGTCTTTCCTCTGTCTGCCTCCCCCTGTTCCTGCCATCTCTGTCCCTTCTCAATGGGACTTTCTCCCTGCCAGCTCTCTGCCCGGCAGCCCTGGGGACGGGCTCCTGGATGCCTTTCCACAGGGGCCCACAGTCTTCTGTGAGCCCTGGGCTAACAGCATGAGACACGGAGCAACCCCAGTCCCTGGGGGCCCAGAGCTCTGCTCCCTAGTGGGTCACAGGCCAGTCCAGTCTCCAGGGTCCATTCAGTCCCTGGCTTCTCTGCTGGGAGGGCTGGGAGCCAGGACTCCTGGGTTCTGTCCCTGGCTCTGGGAGGGGAGCGGGGGGTAGTGGTTAGAGCAGGGGAGGGGCTGGCTTGGGGCCAGGACTCCTGGGTTCTGTCCCTGGCTCTGGGAGGGAAGTGGGGTCTAGTGGGGAGAGCAGGGAGGATGGGGCCAGGACTCCTGGGTTCTGTGCACAGCACCACCACTGACTTGTAGGGGACTGTGCAAGTCTCTACTATACACTGAGGTTTATAACCTTCAGCTCCACCCATCACCCTGTAACTGATGTGTTGCCTGGGAAAGGCCCCTTGCCCTGCAGGTCCCCCTCCCTCAGCCCTGAATCTCCAGCAGCTGCTGCTCCCCCAGGCTGGGAACCCTCAGTGACTCCATCCCTGCTCCCCGGTCGGGGGTCCCCTGGCCCCACGGACACTCACGTCCCAACACCCCGCGCCATCCGGCCAGCCAGTAGTCTGGAAAGGAGGCGGGTTGTTAAGGACCAGATCCCAGAGTGACTGTATCCTACACTATGGTCACAGATCCGTTGTGCCCCCCTTCCCCTATGGGCATACCCCCTGGTCTCTGATCCCCACCATGGACACACACTCCGATACTCACCGAGGAGGAGGACAGTGAGAGCAGACGCCATGACGGGGCAGTGGGGAGACCCCTCAGCGCTGCCACAAATACCCCAGTGCCCAGCTCCACCCAGCCCGAGACCCGAGTGCGAGCAGAATGAAGAACTGCGCCGGGGGTGCAACCCCAGGAAGCCCGTGATGCGCTCGGCCCCTTTCTTCCCCATCAGATGGTTTCTCTGCAATCTCCAGCCCAAATCTACCGCGGTCAGAGCAAAGCCAGATCCCTGCAACGCCCAGCAAACCACATCCCCTCCTGCAGCGGCCGGGACCCACCCCACCGCCCATCACCTCCCAGCCCCACATGGGAGCTGCCCAGTCCAGGGATCAGCTGGGAACGGGACAATCTCAGGAGGTGTAAAGGCTTCCCTGACCTTTTCCAACAGGCCCGTCTAGCCTCCCTGGAGCAGCAGCTCAGAGCAGAGAAGGGATCCCCCGACACACACTCACACACAGTGCCACCCAGGGAGCGACCCATGGAGTGGGACAGAGATTCCTTCCTGACCCGGCTGGGCCCAGCACCTGCCCTGGAGCATGAAAGTTGTTGCCAGACTTGTCCGTTACTTTGGGCGCGGTTTTTTTGGGGTTATTTTGCGGGGGGGGGGGGGGGGGGGGGTTCTGCACGTCTATCAATCTGCTGCTTGTGTCCACATACGGAGACCTACTGATCCCTGCTGCAAGTCCCCTCCCAATGGAGCCACCCTGCAGGGCCTCGGTTCCCCTGGGCTGGGTTCCTCCAGCCCCAGAATCAATCAATCAGACAGACACACACACCCCTGAGCAGACTGGGTCGCGCAGCACTGCCAAGCTGCCACCCCCAGATGCCCCAGGTTCACACGGCCCTGTCCCCACTGTCCCGTCCCGCTTGCTCCGGCAGGAACCCCCGTGCCGAGCAAACCCCCCGGGCTTTGGGGGGCTGCCGGGCTCTGGCCCTCGGGTAGGAGGAGCCTGGCTGCGGGGCCAATGGGGAAGCCCCAAACCCCCCGGCCGGGGAGCGGGGCCGAGCTCAGACACGCCGCTGTGTCTGGAGCCCGGCTCTGCGGGACGGGCAGGGAGCGGGGAGCCCGGCTGGGTCCTAGCGGGGGCCGGGTTCGGGGCGGGCGGGACCCGGCTGCGGGGGGGCGGGCTCTGGGGCGGGACTCGCCTGGGTGTGAGACTCTCCCCGGCGTGGGGCGAGGCAGCTGGCGGCTCCGGTATCCTTTGCTGCTCTTCTGGGACACCCCCCTCCCGCGGGGAGGGGGTGTGGGGCTCCAGGCCTCCGCGGCGGGGGGCTGGTTTGGGGGGCAGGGGGAGCCACTCCCCAGCGGCGCGGCGGGGGCCGGGTCTGCACTTCCCGCTGCCGGTCCGGCCATGCTGGCCGCTGCAGCGCTCAGGGGGGTGGGGGAAGAGCCGGAGCAGGGGTAAGGGAAGGACACCCCTGGTTGCCCCCCATAACGTGTGTTCTGCACCCCGCGGAGCACCCCCCCTCCTCCGGCAGGGCTGGGGGGGAGGTGCTGCTCGGGCGGGCTGCGTGGGAGAAAGTGAAAGTGACTCACTCTCCCGCAGCCCAGCAGCGGGGGCTGGTTTGTATCGAGCGCGCACAGCTGGGGGGGCTGGGGAGCGTCTCTCCCCCGGCGGGGCCGCGATCCATCCGATCCCAGGGCGTGGGGCAGGAGGAGCTGGGAAGGGTCCCCCTCCCCGAGATCAGATGCTGCGCTAACTTCACCATGGTCTGTGATGCCTGGTGCTGTGAGCTGACCTGAGGGTTTGCTGTTGCCATTCTGCACCCCAAGAGGTGGATTTGGGGGTCCTGCAGTTTTCCACCGAGCTCCTCCTCGACTGCAGCTGTGGGACCAGCAGGCCGGGGGTGAGCCAAGCATGAAAGCGGGACCGTGTTGCCGTTTAGAGCGTCATGTAACAACTTCGTTTGCCAATACTGCTGGCTACCAATCCTGAATCCAATTTCAATATTTAAAAGAAAAACCAATATCTGAGCCAAAAACAGAAAATTACGTGGTTGACAATTATTCATGACACGTTTGGTTTGGGGCAGGGAGGGGGCCAGTTTTCATCAGAGAAACGAAAAATGTTGACACGGTTTCCTCTAGCCCTGTTACTGTTAAATAGAGCCCTCCAACAACTGTAATATGCTTCGCTCCTGACTAGTGTGTAGAGCAGCGGTTCCCAAACTTTAACAACCTGTGAACCCCTTTCACTAAAATGTCAAGTCTCGCGAACCCCCTCCCAAAAATGAATGTTTTCAGGGATTTTCTCCTTTACCGGAGTATAAATTATAAAAGCAGTGATCTGGGAAATATAACATTTGTTTTTATGACAAGATTATTGCACACTATTATTATTATTTATCATGACAGTATTTTTATTACATTATGAAAACGGCAACACTCTTCCAAGATCTCACTTTCGTAGCTTGTATCACTTTGTATAAGCCTCTTATAAGACAAGGTGCATATGTTTCATGAAGGAGTCTCAGGCCTGGTCCACACTAACCCCCCCACTTCGGACTAAGGTACGCAAATTCAGCTACGTTAATAATGTAGCTGAATTCGAAGTACCTTAGTCCGAACTTACCGCGGGTCCAGACGCGGCAGGAAGGCTCCCCCGTCGATGCCGCGTACTCCTCTCGCTGAGCTGGAGTACCGGCGTTGACGGCGAGCACTTCTGGGATCGATCCGGGATCGATTTATCGCATCTAAACCAGACGCGATAAATTGATCCCAGAACATTGATTGCCTGCCGCCGGACCCTCCGGTAAGTGTAGACGTACCCTCAGATGTGAAACAGCAGGAAGGTATTTAAGAAGCCAACTCAAAGAGTTCCTCCTACACAAGCATTCAGGTCTTGAGCAGTCCAGGCAAACAACACACGTTACAACAAAGCTTAAACTTGTTCGTCATAGTAATTTTAAAAACAATACTAGCTCTCTGTTTAATTTTAAAAACAGCAGAAAATATCCACCTCCCTTTCCATTTCTTATAAGGAGTCTTGAAGTTTAAATCTCCTGAGCGTGATAGATCTGCTTGCTTTGATCTGCTTAGCTCTTGGAAGTCCAGGGCCTCTTGGCTGCTGGCCCCGAGTTGCCCGGGTTCCCTAGGGACAGCTCTGTCCGCCATTAGGAAATTTTTTCACAAGAACCCTCTGTAACATTTCGCGAACCCCCCAAGGGGTTTTGCCAGCCCAGAGGTTGGGGAGCCAATGTTTTCAGTTTTCACAACATTTTGTCCAACTTTCATAAAGTAAATGCATGGTTAATATGAGTTTAAAAGGCCAGGGACACTTCCTTGTGAAGAATCTGTGCAGCAGATCATGCGGGAGCTGTGAAAATGTCAGTTTAGAGGCACTGATTTATCAAAAACAACAAGGAGTCTGGTGGCACCTTAAAAGACTGACAGATTTATTTGGACATAAGCTTTCGTGGGTAAAAAACCACTTCTTCAGCTGCGTGGCTTTTTTTAGGGTTTTTTACCCACGAAAGCTTATGCCCAAATAAATCTGTCAGTCTTTAAGGTGCTACCAGACTCCTTGTTGTTTTTGTGGATACAGACTAACACGGCTACTCCCTGATACTTGACACTGATTTATCCTGTATTTCTGGCGGTGCCCAAAATGTGCTGCTGTTGCTAACGTCTTTCCAAAGAAAAATAAGGCACAATTTAAGGACTGGACAATGTTAAGGTCAGACGTATGAACAGGCAGAGCTTGGAGCTGTGAGGGCAACACAGAAATATCTCAAAGCATTTTTTTTTTTCTTCTGAATAAGCTCTTGATGGAAAAGAGTGGCGCTCTGCAAGCAATCATCCTGCTAACATAGTACTCTGATATCCAGTCACGATTGCAAGTGATCAGAAGTTCTCATCATCTGATTACTCAGTTGTCTGTGTAAAATGAACTGGTGATGGAAGTTCAGTGTCATCACTGACATTGTTGATCAGAAAGGATGAGTGACAAAACCTGGAGAGGGTCCTTCTGTAACAAGGGCACATTAGGTTGGAAAAAGAAATTCGCTTGTCTCTGTCCATGCTTTCCATGACTTCTGTAACATTTCGGTCCTACCTCAATCAAGATGAGCTGATTCTGTACTGACTTCATTTTGGTCACTTTGTGCTTTACCGAGGAATAAAACTAGGGTTCTATTTCCCCACTGCTTGGAAACCCAGCTTATTAAACTGGATAATGCCACTGATCTATTTACAGTATAAGGTTGATATAGAGTTGTAACTAACATTAAGACTGATGCCCACGATACATTTAAAACTAAAAGGTGGCTTCGTAAAAATGACATGGGTTTCCAACTCTACTGTGTCTCAGTCAGGGTGGAGCATCTTGTGAGGTGTCTTCACACTAGCTCAAGGTCACAGACTCACGGCTATCCTATATTAGTTATTTTAAATAATATTTCTGATAATCTGACAAGAATTTAAACAGTTATTTCTTTAACAAAACACCCTTAAGTTATGTCCTATCGAAAGCAACTTTCCGGATCTCAAAAAAGAAAACGGAAAGATGAAATAGGATTAGCTATACAAGCACAGAAGGGTTCTATACTTAAGTTTGTACGTCATGAAAACAACGAAGTTGATCAAGATGAAAACAAGGAAGTTGATCAAGATCATCAAGTAACTGCCGAAGAAAATTTTTATGCAGACAAAGCTCAAGAAATGCAACAAAACACGGAACAATCATTTGAAACAGATGCAGACACAAACCAAGAAATTACAACAGTTGAAACTGTACTAGCATGGGATATAGATGACATTGGCACATGGCCGCAATCTTTAAACAACAAATTACGCGCCATTATACTTGAGAGAGGCCCTGTGAGAATAGAAGGTCTTGAATATCCTAAAGACATTAGAGGTAGGAAATTCACAGAAAACAATTACTACAAAAGACTTTCTAATGGTGAAATTGTCAACAGACGGTGGCTTGTGTACTCTAAATGCAAGGATGCTGTATTTTGTTTCCCGTGCAAGATTTTCAACAGTTGCAATTTAAAGATCGCAACCATGGGTATTAATGATTGGCAAAATCTTAGTCACACATTACCGCAACATGAAAAGGAACAACACCACATTGAAAGTATGCACAAATGGTGTGAGCCAAGTGTAAGGTTAAAGAATCAGACAACTCTCGATGCCCAAAATCAAAGATTGCTGGAGTCAGAGAAGCAGCACTGGCGTCTTGTTCTTGAACGTCTGTTATCTATTGTTGAATATCTATCAACAAACAATCTTGCTTTTAGAGGAAGCACTGAGAAATTATACCAGCCCCAAAATGGCAATTTTTTGGGCCTTGTACAGCTGCTGGGAAATTTTGACACAGTGATGAATGAATATCTCCGAAGAGTAACTGAAAATGAAATACATGATGACTATTTGGGACCAAGAATTCAAAATGAACTGATCATGCTAATGAGTAATAAAGTGAGAGACAAAATTGTTTCATTGGTTACTTTGGCAAAATATTTTGCTGTAATTCTAGATTGCACTCCGGACATAAGTCATAAAGAACAGATGTCGTTAGTAGTGAGATTTGTCGACATTAGTGATTCAGCACAGATTACAGTTAAGGAATCGTTTATCACATTTTTAGAAGTAGAGGACACTACAGGGTTTGGACTTCTTCAAGCTCTCCTTGATGAGCTAAAACGAATGGGATTGTCCGTAATGAACATTAGAGGACAAGGCTATGATAATGGCGCCAATATGAGAGGATGCATTTCTGGCGTGCAAGCTAGATTGCTGGCAGAAAATCCACGAGCCTTTTTTGTTCCGTGTGCATGCCACAGCCTTCATTTGATTCTGTGTGATATGGCCAAGTCGTCTGTAGAAGCTATATGTTTTTTTGGTTTGCTCCAACGTATTTTTGTCCTCTTTTCAGCTTCCACTGAACACTGGCAAATATTCAAAGCGCATGTCAGCGGTATCACCGTTAAGCCTCTATCTGAGACACGCTGGGAAAGCAGAGTAGAAAGTGCAAAAACATTGCGATATCAATCTGAGGAAGTTTACGAAGCGCTGGTTGCTATTTCGGAAGAAGCCAGAGATCCAAAAGCTAAAAGTCAAGCAGAGTCATTGGCCTCTGAAATAGCCAGCTTCAAGTTTCTAACATCTGTCGTAATCTGGTATGACATTCTTGTTAACATCTCAAGTGTAAGCAAAATCATGCAGAGTCCAACGATGCAGCTTGATTCAACACTTACCTTACTAAACACCACACGAGACTTTTTAGTGAAATACAGAGAAAATGGATTCAAAGAAGCACAGGTTACAGCAAGAGAGCTTGCAGAGGCACTCGGTGTGGAACCAAAATTTCCGTGTCCGAACGTGACAAGAGTTTCGAGGAAAAAACGGCAAGCGGAAGATGAAGGAGCCGATGAGCCCATAGACGATCCAGAAAAGAAATTTGAGGTTGACTTTTTTAATGTCGTGATGGATAAAGCAATATCTGCCGTCGATGAAAGGTTTAATACCTTACGAGCACACCATGAACAGTTTGGATTTTTGTATGACATAACTAAATTCAACGAAATAGGAAAACAAGAGCAGTTAATGACAAAGTGCAAGAACCTAGAGAGCCTCCTGAAGCACGGAGATAGTTCTGATTTAAATGGACTTGAACTGTACGAAGAATTGAGTTCATTGTCAACAGTGTTGCCACATGCAAAATCGGTGATGGACATTGTACAGTTTATTCATACCAGCAAACTTGTTGACATATATCCTAATGTGTACATTGCCACTCGTATTCTACTAACAATTCCTATAACCGTAGCATCAGGAGAACAGAAACTAAAGCTCATTAAAAACTATCTCCGCTCTACAATGAGCCAGGAACACTTGACTGGTCTTGCTATTCTTTCAATTGAACAAGACATCACTTTGTCTTTGTCATACGATGACGTTATTACTGATTTTGCAGACGAAAAAACCAGAAAGATTGTTTTTAATTAAAAACAAATCCTTGTTTCAATACCTCTTCATAGAAATTTCTAATAAAATGTTGACAAATTAAAAAAGTAATATTATTTGCATCATTCTGTCAATAAATCAGAATTTTTTCTATAGCGCTACTTCCTTAGTGCAAGAATAGTCCATCAGCATCACAGTGGGCTTAATTAGTTTAAACTGGTTTTAATAAAGTGCATGCGGCAAGTGTTCCAATACTGTCAGCTTATGTTTGTGTTGCTAAGAGCAAGTCGGGCACAGGGGCACCAGTTTAATAATCCTGCGTAGGGCACCATAAACCCTAAGGCCGGCCCTGCCGGGGAGAGAGAGAGAGAGAGAGAGAAGCAACCAGCTTAACCATGAAAGTTATTTATTGCCAGGTAATAACCATAGGGGAGCCAAACAAACAAAACAGTTATAATATTAAATCAAACCTAAATTTGATTATAAAAGGTTTAGAAAATTATAACTGATCACACAAGTCAGGTTCAGAAGGCTACACCTAGAGAGAGAGAGAGAGCTGGGTTCTCACCACTCTGTGAAGCTTGAATTGATCGGGGGGCCCAGGTGGTGGTGGTAGCTGAGGGTCCGGAGTGCTGGAGACAGGCAGAGCCCCCAGCAGGATCAGTCAGGAGAAGATGACATCCCAGTGGAACTGATGCAGATTTTGGATCCAGGCATCAGAGCACTTACTTGAGCGTGGGAAGGAGTTTTTGTAGGGCAAGAACAATGGTTCGAGGGAGAACACTAGATGTGTTTGTGAGTAAATTAATGGCTCAAGGGAGAAGACCAAAGTTGTTTTGTTCAGGCTAGACAACAGGAGCTGATCATTCCTGGCCATGGACGGTGTTTCTTGGAGGGAGCTCACAATGCAATTCGGGAGCTTCAGTATTTCGGATACCAATGGAGGATTCGTTACTAGAATTGGTCTGATAACTGCTGAGCTGGGGGTGTGCAGGCGTGGGCTCATTAACAGCTGGAGCAGAGATCCCCCATCATGCCGTGCTTCCCTGCTTCACTGGCCCCAGAGTTCCCTGCGGTTCTTGCCTCGGAATCTCTGGTCTCCAGTCTGTAGCTGATGGAGATGCCTCCTTGTCCCATCTCCCATGCAAATGAGGCCAGGGGAGTTTCCTTATCCTGTTTCCCTTGTCCCAGGGGTTTCGGTGGGTCTCCCACGGCCTTTCCATTG